CCGGTACCTTCCCTTAGTATAAAAATCAAAAGTGAGGCTGATACAGAATGGTGATTTTGCACTAGATCTAAGGTCTAGTATATGATGCTAGGCTGTCATGGTAAGTTGTTCCCGCATAGTGTTAAGCCAAACATGAATAACTTGTCTTGGTCTTGTTCATGCATATCTCTAAACAATAGATTCCAAACGTCTCAGATTTCTTGGAAGCAAAGATCTCTAGGGACTAGTGGTTTTTATATCTTAGAAAACTAAGTAAATTATTATAGTGGTTTTTTCTTTACTTCAGTATCTCCTGAATCCTGCAGTTAGAATGTTAAACAATGGTGAGTGGTCCTCAGGATCCTTGCATCAGAAAGTTTTGCATTTCAAGGAGGAAAGGAACATTTCAACTGGCAACTTAGCAAAAGTATTATCATGATATATTTTCCTTTGACAGGCACTTCCGAGCAATTTGACGTTTATGACAAGTGATACAGATTATTAAAGGGGAAAATAAGGTGATCCAAAAAAGAAATAACAGAAACCAAAAGATTATACATGGAGCTAGACAACAGGTTCAGCCGGGAATGTTGAAACCTTTCATTCATAGCTCTTACAAGAAACCTGCATTAAAAAAACACAGACCCTCATTGCCCTTCTAAGGTTTAAGTTAAGCCATTGACTAGGGCTGATTTTAAAAGTAACAATGGAACAGGGCTATATGTAAAAGTATGTTAATTCTGCAGAGGAACATCCCTTTTGGGAATTTTGTTACATTTCTTTCATTAAAAAATTGATTGCAAATTGTGCCATTTTTAGAGTTACCTTGACACTGGAGTTTTTGAATGATTGCACACACTTGCTCGAAATCAGATAGTGTAAAGGGATGTGCTATGCAATGCTCATTTGCACAAGAATAATATTTCTGTGATCTCATTCACTTCAGTCTTCCTTGTGCAGAAGAACCTGCTTCCAAGTCATGGCCTGTCCTAAGATTCAGAATACATAAGTCATTACAGGTAGTCCTCAGGTTAAGAACATCCGGTTTAAGGGAGACCTATAGTTAAGAACAGAGCCTATTGTAGCAAAATTCAGGTTAAATACACAATGATTTGAGTTAAATGCACAATGGTTCAAGTTAATTACACAATACTACTTATACAGTATTATACAATAATACCATTCCAGCTTACATACAAATTTGACTTAAGACAGACCTTGGGAACGGAACTTGTTCTTAAACTGGGGACTACCTGTAGCTATGTTTAGATTTGTTCCTGTCTGGCCAGAAAGGTGCTGTGAGGCCCCAACTGGATGGGATGCCATCTTGTTTTTTATGCTGAAGTTGCCTGAAGCCTGGATGCCATTTGCATCTTAAAATTCTGGTTTTGGTCAACAGCACTTTGAGGGGCAAAAAACGCTCTGGGGGTTGTGGTTTTTAGCAAAGGAATGCAGGATTTTGATGTGGATCAGTGGTGTTCTGAATTGGGGTCCCATAGATGTTCTCTGCATGTCTGATATTACGTGTAAAGACCATAACACAAGAAAGAAGTGTTATGCATTGGATGAAAAAATGATTTCAGGCAGCACACAGGATGTTTTTACTTTAGTGCTTGAAAGATTAATATCTTTATTTTTGTATTTCATTAAAGTGGAAATATCAAGGTTAGCATTTCTTGGCACTATTCTAGGACTCTGCTGAATGGTACCGGGTCAAGGTTGTACACTGGAGAGTTTCATAGGCTAAAATGTGTCCTGTAGTTTCCTTCTTAAATGACTTTTGTTCAGCTTTGGGGGAGGAAGACATATTGGGGTTGCAGAAATATGATGAGAAGTACCAAGACATGTTTGCCTCCCTCCCAGACTTGTGCAATCTCTCCCAGAAGATAGGATGATATTGGTGATATGTACAGTAGAGTCTTCCAGTGTAGCCTGGAGTGTCTGATGTTACTTTTGCCATTCAGAAAAGAACTGAGCTCCACTTGCCTCCACAGTATGATGAGAATTGAATTATATTTATATGAACAGGATATGGTTTCTTTTCATTTGCTGAATCACTTCTTCCTTCTCCTAGGCATGCATGATGATCATTACTTTTTTGCCATATACAGTAAGTAAGCACTTTCTTTCATGCGTTCTGTTGCATGTTTAGGCTGCTGCCTGAGTTGGTTGCCTGATAACAGATTTCCAGATTTGTACATCGCATTGAACCATAAACTGACCCCACAGGCTATGTTTTTCACCAGTGCAGGTGCTACTTAATAGTTCAGTGCATTGTGCAAGCGTGGTCTATTTAATAGAGATTAGGAGCATGTTCCTGGAATCTTGAACCAATATTGATACATTTGAGATCAACTGAAGAGATTTAAAGCATTAAAACTGCAGATCTAATGCAGGATGCATTTTGAAGATGCAAAAGCCATAATGGGTAAGAGTAAGTACAGTGGGGCAAAAAAGTATTTAGTCAGCCACCAATTGTGCAAGTTCTCCCACTT